AAGTCTTGCTTCATCGTGATACACCCTCCCTCACTTCCCCTCCTCCGCCTTCTCTTGCCGTCCGTTTCTCCTCTATCCTTCCGCTTTGTTGCTTCTGCTGCTGTTCGTCCTCATCCATTTCCTCCCCCGCTAATTAATTTCCTGCTCACCCGCCACCTCATAACCCTCGTCCTCCTCTTCCTCCTCCTCCTCCTCCTCCTCGTCCTCCTCCTCCTCCTCCTCCTCCTCCTCCTCCTCCTCCTCCTCCTCCTCATCTTGTGCACGCAGCTCCCCTGTTCCAATTGCGCATACCATGCAGTGGTCTTTCAATGGGAGTCTCAGGCTAGCTATGACACGCGTCTGCGGATAATGAAAAATTAGTGCCATGGGAAGGAATGGTAGAGAGGAAAAGGACGTCAGATGAGGCGCAAGCGCACATAGCTTGTCACCCTCCCTCTCTCCCTCCTCCTCCTCCTCCTCCTCCTCCTCTTCCTCCTCCTCCTCTTCCTCCTCCTCCTCCTCCTCCTTCTCCTCCTCCTTTTGCATTCTACTTCACATCCCTGATCAGGCCAACTCGTCTTGGCATCGTTTCTGGATGGGCTGGTGTTTTTTTTCCCGTCGCAACCGCAAGCGAAGGCGCAGGCGGCGTCAAGGGTCGACCCGGGCTACGGGCGGAACCTAATTATCCAGCGAGCACACTCACGGCTGCCAACGCTGCCACCGAGGGACGCTGAGCGGCGCCGGGGGCTGAGGCAGGCTGCAGGAGCTGCCAGGAGAGCCAGGCGGCCGAAGTGCAGCCATCCCAGAAGCGAGACCACCGGGAAGACGTACGAATTGTACCCTGTCGCGCCAGGCGCCAGAGGTAGTCGTGCCACCGAGCGTGGCAAAGCGCGGGGCTGCGCAAGCAGTCCAGCGAACCAGTGCTGCATGCCAACGGTGACAACCTCGCATGGATGACCAAGAAGGCTGAACCACTCTTGAGCAATCCAACTGGTGGGGTTACTTTTTTCTCGCGGGCGCAAGCGGAAGCGCAGCGCCGAGTTGAAAGGTCCGGGCCACGGGCCAATCTAATTAGCAACGCGCGAGCCTAAAAGCAACTGGTGGGGTTACGCGAAGTGTCAAGAATTGTTTCTTGGTTCACAATTCGACAGCGAAGGCTGCTGCATGCGCGGCCTGTTGCGAGGCCCCATGAGGCAAGCGGCTGCGGAGGGGAAGTGCTGCCACTGCGGCAGACTGCCCTGGCCTCCCAGACACACCACCCCGCCTTGCGACGGGCCCCGACACTGGAGGCGTCCCAGATGGGGTCGGAGTACATAGATGGAGTCGGAGGATCGCGCCGCATCGCCGATGCATTGTCAATGCAAGGCGATTGAATGGCGACGTCGGCGATGCATCGGCGACGTCGGCGTGGGAAGAATCGGGCTCCACATCGAGCCGCAACGCCGACACATCGGTGATGCGGCGCGATTCTCTGACCCCATCTACTCGGACCCGATCTGGGAGGCCCAGAGACACCCAGGCCCACCAGGCCCCTTGCGCCAACCCAGGCGCTCCCGCGTGCGACCGCCGCACTGGCCGACAGGCCCCGCGGGCCTCGCACGACCAACGCGAGGCACAGCCCCGTGGCACGCTGCTCGCTCCAGGCAACATGCCCGCGCGGAGGTACCAAAACCACCCACCCATGACGACAGCGCAACCGAAAGCCAGCCGAACTGACAGCGAAGCCAGGACCGTTCAAACCCGTTTCCATGGAAAGCGGGCAACAGGGAGCAACAGCGTGGCAACGACGCAGCAACCGACCGACCTGAATCGACCAAATGCAGCCGACCGCGACGCAGCCGAAACGACCGAACCGCGGACACCCTTGGGTACAGGCAACCCGTATCAGAAGGAGGCGCGATGAGCATGCACTGGTCTTGGACACCCACTTCGAAGCTTTTCGAGCGGGGAGCGGCCAGCGAAAGCCCTCAAGAATGGTCCGAAGAGGCAAAGATGCAAGGGTATCCTCGCGAAGGCTGCCCGTCCTTATGAGGGTTGGTTCCCCACCCAACGGCCCGCGACGCCCAACGGCCCACGACGCCTACGCTTCCCACACAGCCCCGCAACCTCTGCAGCTGTGACACGGACTCCGGCCCGACGAATTGCACCCTACCACGGCGCGGCTGCCTACCTCCTCGACCCAGATGTGCGGCGACGACCTCGAGCCCTGACAGGGTGGCTACCACACCAGGGTCGCGTGCCACACTCGGGAGGAGGGCTGGAGAGTGCATCGAGGAGACAGGAGGGGTTCAAGGGGCCCATGGACAGACAAATACACAAACACACAAATCCCAGGATTCCCCATATTTTCCCATATCATATGAGATCCCGCTTTCCTTGGAATCGACGACTATTTGTGTCTGTGTGTTCTTGTCCCCTGCTGAGGGGCGGGAGGTTGCAGCAGCCGCCTCTCTCCCCTCCGTGGGGGCACCACTGCCGCGGACGTCCCCCCCCTGCAGCTCCACAAGATTGGGGCCTGTCCACCCGCGTTCCCTCGTCCCTGCCTTTCTTGTGCAGTCCCCTCTCTTTCCGTCTTCTACCCCCTCCAGCGTCCGAGCAATGTCTGGGCAAAGGCGACCAGGATCCAGCCGTGACGAGTAAACATGTTGGGAGGCGCATGATGTGAGAGTGCACGTGCACACTTGCTCATTGATCCAAAGTCCGAGCAACGCCTCGGCAAAGGCGACGATAATCCAGCCGTGACGAGTAATCCGACTTGGGGGCACATGATGCCAACTTCACGTGTATACTTGCTCATTGAACCGATGGTGCACGCGGAGGAAGAGGAGTACGAAGAGCCAAGAGGAAAAGATGCGGGAAGGAGGGCGAAAGTGGAGACAAGAACGATAACAAGCTGCACGACAAGGAGCCGGAGGTGGCAGGAGGATATATGGGAAGCGTCCTCCCTATGCCGCTCTCTGGAAGGCTCTCTGGGGCCCTTCCCCGGAGCCCCTGGAAGAGGGGGTCTCTGGGGCCTTACCGAAGGATTCACTGGGTTTCCAAGGGCTCCCAACTTCGCGCTTCGCGCTGCGCGAAGCGCGAAGTGCGAATAGCTTCGCGCTCTCGCGCCGCCTCCCTGGGGGAGAAGAGGAAGGTGATGGATCGGAGCCGAACCGCGAAGCGCGAAGCGCGAACAACTCCGCGCCCTCGAGGGCGCCCTTGGTGTCTCTGCTTGCCGTTTTCGCGGTCGCCGTCGCCCCCAGGTGGCCGCGGCCGCTGCGGCGGCAGCAGGACCTCGACGAGCGCGGAGGCGCCGAGCTGCCGTCTCCACTCGCCCGCGCTCCGCACCACCTCCTGCAGGTAGCACCGCCTCCGCTGCTCCTCCACGCCCTCGGGGCCCGCCGCTCCCCCGCGCTCCGCCTCCAGCGCGGCGAGGCGCGCCTGGCACTCCGCATAGAAGGGCAGCGCGTCGGTCCTGGGGCGCGAGCGGATGGGGGGCGATCGGGGGGGGAGTGGAGGAGGAAGGTGCTGCTCTCGGGGAGGAGGGAGGAAGGCTACTCTCGGGGAGGGGGAGGTGGGAGGAGAAAGGTGCTGCTCTCGGGGAGGAGAGGAGGGAGAAAGGTGCTGCTCTCGGGGGGAGGAGAAAGGTGCTGCTCTAGGAGAAAGGTACTCCTGTCGGGCCCCAGAAGGCCCCCTTCTGGGCCCGAAAAGGGCGCCTCCAGGGGCCCGAGGGGGCCCCTTCTCTGCAGCCCTCAGTGCCCCCCCCCCCTCCCCCCCAACGTATCGCCGCCATATTCCCAGATCCCCGACGTCACGACTTTTTCATGGCATCCTCCTCCTCCTCCTCCTCCTCCTCCTCCTCCTCCTCCTCCTCCGCCTCCTCCTCCTCGGACCCCTTCCCCAGAACCAGCTCTTCATCCTGAGTCGTTTTTTCAAGGTCACGAGGCCCAGTGATGGCCCCCAGAGGCCGAAACGAGAGATAAACAAACCTCCCGTCGCGATTTCTTCACAACGCGAGGGGGTGGGCCCAAAGTCCGGGACCCGCTCAGGCTCCGGCCGAGGCCGACCTTGGCCGCCCACCTCTCGAAGCCGCAGAAGGGGTAGTGCAGCACCACGGCGGTGCGCCGCGGGGCGCTGCCGCGGCCCGCCCCGCTGGAGAAGCGGTGGACGCCCCGGGCGCCGACCGGCGGCTGCAACAGGCGCGCACCGCGCAGGGGAGTTCCTCCTCCTCCTCCTCCTCCTCCTCCTCCTCCTCCTCCTCCTCCTCCTCCTCCTCCTGCTCCTCCTCC